CAAGCCTCACAAGGCCAAAGGGACTTAAAATAGGTCTAATGCAGACCTAAACAAAGCTAAGGATGTACTTAGATGGCATCTAAGTGGCCTAAAAAGTGCAAGCATATTCCAAGGCCTAAACAAGGGGCATAAGGTAACAACCTTTAAACACATTGAAGGAGGATTAAATGCAAGCATATAAGCATGTTGAGTGGACTAAAATGACATGTTAAGAGGTTCCAAACCACTAAATCAAAGCAAGTAAGGCATGCTACACACTTATACACTTAAGGCCAACAAGCCAAAATGCAAAGGAGCTATACAATGTATGCCAAAGTTGACCCAAACAACTAAGGACAGGCCTTAATCATGGCAAAATAAACATGAAAGCTTCACAAAGCCAAGCCTAAAACACGCTAGAACAATGGTTTACAACCTAAGGCATGTTAAGGCAACAAAATGGCATTACAAGACATGTATGCTAAGCAAGCATGGTGTACCAAAACCAACTTAAAACAATGCTATTTCATGGCAAAATAAGCATAAATAACAGCTAAGGCATGGTCAACAAGAGCCTAAGCTAGGTGCTCCCTCAAGAGGCAAAAATGGTCCTTTTCAAGGACAACAAGGAGACGGGGTGGCCCTTTCCTTCTTAGGACCTCAAGGCACCATCCCGACCTCTGAAATCCCTCAAGATTTTAGTGGTGAGGAGGCCCAAACACCAAGGTCTCGGAGCTCACCCAAAATGGTACAAAATGGAGCCTTACAAGGCTTAAGAGGGGTCAAACTACCCCAAAGCTTGAAGCAACCTGAAACAACTATTTAGAGGGCCTAAAAATAGAACTTTTTTATGTTATACACAAAGCTCAAAAACAGTTTCAAGATAGGCTAAAAAGCTATGCAAGAATGGGGTAAAAAGGGACAAAAGTCTTACCCTTGTAGACCCTCTTCACAAATGGTGGACCAGTTGTCTCCTTAGGTCCAAACCAGCTTCAAAACTCTGAAAACAATCCCCTAGAACCTCAATAGCCAAGGGAATGTGTAATAGTAGGTGTTTGTGTACAAAACTAAGGCTTAAACACACACAATACAAGAGAAGGAGAGATATAGATATAGGATAGATACAAAATCCTAAACCTAGAACCAGAGCTTCTCTAACAATTTTTTTTAACCCTAATGCCAAGAGAGGAGCCCTCTTCTTATAGGCAACTCCCTTTTGCAAGGCTTCCAAAACAAGCCATCCAAGAGGGAAATCCCTCCATACATGTGTATGGAGGGGAGCAGAGTGGGTGCCAGCTATCACAGCTGGCACAAAATATCTACTAAAAGTAGATGAACAGTGATCGGCCATTCAAAATTGCCATTTTGGCAAAATAAATGGCCGACCGGCAACAAATAGTGCCGACCGGCAATATACATTGCCGATGGCATAAAATCACTGGCCGGTGGCCTCAAGCCATGGCCGATGATGTGTGGGGGTGCCTCACAAGGCATTCCCTGCCCCTCCAAGGCAAAACACAAGTGTTTGGTGCAAAACCAGACACAACACGGTCGAGTCGAGAGATCCTGAGGCAAGGCGCGCAACCAAGACATCCGGGAACTCAAGACGAACACAAACAAGGGTAATCACCAAGTGTTCCAATGGTGACGTCCAAGTCTTGAGGACGGTCAAAAATGGGGTATCTACACCTTAACGCTCTATTTGGAAGTTGAAATTCCTATTTGGAAGTTGAATAAAAATGGAAGTTGAAAAAAAATGTAAGTTGAGTAAAAAAGAAGTTGAATAAAAACGGAAGTTGATTTAAGAGACCACAATACCTTAACGGTCTATTTGGAAGATAAACTTCCTATTTGGAAATTGAACAAAAATAGATGTTGAATAAAAATGGAAGTTGAATAAAAAAGGAAGTTGAATAAAAACGCAAGTTGATTTAAGAAACCACTGTGCCTTAACGCTCTATTTGGATGTTGAACTTCTAATTTCGAAATTGAATAAAAATGGAAGTTGAACAAAAATGCAAGTCTGTTTAAAAAACCACTATATACCTTAATGCTCTATTTTGAAGTTGAACTTCTTATTTGCAAATATAAAATCAGGCATGTAGTCTTACCTTACCACAGGTGCAGGGTTAATGAATTGGATTATTACAGCTTTTTACATTATTATTACGACAATAACGAGAAGAATATACATGGAATTTAGGACAAGTAACCAAAAATAATGAGATGGGTGTGTAGTAGTATTTTCCACTGCTTAACAATAGGTGTAATTATTGCACTTATCCAACCCACATGTGGATGCACCATACCATACATCTTTTACATTCATCAGTTATTTGTAGCACCCATGTAGAATACCAAAATCCAATCACACAAGTTCATGATAGACACGAACATAGAGAGAGAGAGAGAGAGAGAGAGAGAGAGAGAGAGAGGAGCGTTACCTTCAGTAACAGCCATCTCGACATCTTGCATTGTGACAAGACCCTTCCCCATAGCATCTTTTTGTTCCTGTTCCACAATAATTACATTTGGAAACATAAATAATAACTAATATAAATAATAACTAATATAAACTAACCATAAATAATAACTAATATAAACTAACTAAATAATATCCATTTGGAAAGTATTAGTTATAAACTGCTTATTACTAAACATAAATAATAACTAATAAACTGCTTTTTTAATTCTTCTTTCTTGAAGTTGAATATTAAGTAGTTGGTTAGGAAAATTAGCAAACGTGGATCTCAATAGAATTAATGAACAAAATAGAATTAATGAACAAAATTAACAAAAATGGATTAAAGCTTCTAAATAGAATTAATGCTGGACAGATGTTCATGGTTGAGGGAAAAATGGATTGTCCCATTCTTTTTTAGAAGGTTTCCATCTTGGTTGTTTGGCTTAGGGGAAGGCCTTTGTATTGATTATATTTAAAGTTCCTTTATAAATTTATCGTAGTTTCAAAAAATAAAATAAAATTATGGTAGATATGGAATCAATTCATAGTAAGAGATTTAACAAGGAAGAGGTACGTAAAAATCCCTTGACAAATGAAATTCATTTCTTTTCCTTTCCATGCATGCTATTTGCTATCAACTCAATGAAGATGCCCACTACAATCAATAAATGCCCTAATCAACAACATCAAAAACTTACCTTTATTCACTGGCCCAACAAAGGTTTCAAGACACTAACTTGAGCCTTTGCTTTATATACACATAATTTGATCTTTCAACCATCTATGGGATGATCAGCCATGTTTTCATTATATGCATCTCTGCATATATATATATATATATCTATGTGTTTCTTTAGTGTGATACGATCTTTCAAGCATTCTTTAAATTCAGAATCTGTGCTCATGAATTATGCATGAAAGAAACCTTTCTCTGATCAAATAAAAAAAGTTCATTTGAAAAACATTGTAAACACATAACAAAATTTTCATTTCAATAAAATCAACATACTAATTCTTCATTTCTGAAAAACAAATAATGGGTAAAGATGAAGAAACTATACCTTCTCTTTATACAAAGACTCTCTCTTTCTCTCTCTCGAGACTCTGTTGAGACAGTCTCACTTTCTTCTTTCTTTCTTTCTTTTTTTTTTTTTTTAACCAGGCTCACTTTTCTCTCTCTCTCTCAAAGCGTTTCAAAGTCTCAAGTCACACTGAACTGCCAACCCATCTGTCTCTTATATAAAACTCACACACAATTCACACACACACACTCTCTCTCTCTCTCACATACACATTTTCTCTCTCTAAAACAGAATCTATCTGTATATGTGTTATTAGATGTAGTGAGAGAAAAATGAATATACAATCAATAAATTCCCTAATCAACAACATCAAAAACTTACCTTTATTCGCTGGCCCTTCCAAATCCAAGCCCACCCCATTACTCATTGTGCTTTGCTTCATCACCGTCAAATCCACTGAACCCATCCCAAATTTTCAAAAATTCAAAGTTTTTGGAAACAATCACAACAAAAATTAAAGGATACTAGAGAATTCAAACTAACAAGCTATACCACATCAAATATGAAAGTGAGCCAGAACTGCTCCAAAAATGGCATCCAGTTTACCACAATGCATTGTTTAATGAATTCAAGGACGACAACTTGTACATTATGCAATCACTCAAGGATGACAACTTGTACATTATGCAATCACTCATTTAGTTTAACACAATGTTCGTGTGTAGTTTATTTTCTACAATCACTTGTGTAGTTTATTTTCAAAATTGAGCCTAAAAGTAGGTCCAAAAGCCCTACAAGGAAGGAGTGCAAGGGGAGGATCCCAATTCCCAATAAATTGCCCAAATGGCCGTCCATGCAAAAGCTAGGCCTACACTGTCCCACCATACCTGTCATGGATTTGTAATTATTATAAATGAGATTAAGAGAATGAAGTGATTATTATAGGATGTCAACTGTAAAACATATAAAATTAAAATTTTCATTTTAATTGTTTCGGTTTTGTTAGGACTTCTTTTTGCAATACCTTTGTGCATTCTAATAAGCTTTTAAGATTGTATAAAATGTTCTATTTTCACGTCATTTGTTTGGCATTTATTTTTACTGATTAATCAATAATTTTATTTGTGTAATACTTTAAATTTTTTTAAATCACTATCATTAATTCTAAATCACCATCATCGAGTTTGCTTGCCTATACAAATGTTGAGGGGCATTTTAGCAAACTAATTGGAGCATCTTAGTATTACGTATATATACGCTTATTTCACAAAATCATCGTGTGACAGTTATTATTTAATAAAAAAAAAATGTTTCTAGAGGATGGACTCTACCTATTGATGCAATGTTTTGACTTTAGAGTTTTTTTTTTTTTTTTTTTTTTTTTTTTTTTTTTATTTCTACCTCATTAGTGCTCAATTAAAACTCCAAAATTAGAGGGATGAATCATTATTGTTAATAAAATTAGTTTTCAATTTCAAAAGGTCATCATGTGACCGTTGTTGTAGGATTCATTGTCATAAGGGATCCAAGCAGTTTTTTACGTGTTTACTGTCGGTTACCTAACACACGACTTTCCTCCTTAACTTGGGCTTGGGACTAGCGAAATTGTTAACAATTCTGGCGGAGACCGTTGCCATATAATGAAATTGGTTCCCAAGATTAAAGATCCAATCCCTAATCAAAAGCCAAAAAACATCAAACCAAATCAACCATAAACTTCGATAACATAAAACATATTTGGTAATTAAACATTGATTGGTAGACAAAACACCAGATAGAAAGCACCCAAAAACCCTAAACATAGATCATATGGTTTACGGAAGTTATACATCTTACCCTTGTGTATATATATATATATATATTGACAGCATGGCCTTAAAGATTTTAATAAACATGACTCTTGGTTTTACTATGTTCCTTCCCTGATGATGATTTTCCTTTGACACATGATTTAACCAATTGCTTCAAACCACCCTTGTTCTTCTTCTTCTTTACTTTCTGCTCTGTTATTGATGCCATCTCTTCTGTCTTCTTCTCACCCTCTATTATCTCTCCTTCTAACAGCCAACACAACTGATTCACAACACAAGACACACCATCACAATATCAAGTCTTTTCATCATCACCCCATAACATATACCAATATATATATATGGTGCAAATCATTAGAGAACACATGACTTTAACCCTAAAAAACACTACAACAAAAATTAAATGAAATATTTTTATTTCAAAAATATCATCATTTTATTTTTAACGACAAAATTAAACATAATAAATTATTATTTTTTAGGATAAAATTATTTTGTTCAATGATATTTTTTAAATTTTGTCGCTAAAAGCCCCTAAAACAATTTGTTAGAGTGAAATATGTCCCACTTACTTGAATGATTGATTAATTCTAAAATAAATTATATATAAGATAATAAAATAGAACATAATCCAACTAGAATGGTTGAATTGGCACTACAAAAAATTAAGATTTTAGAAATTAAAATTTATGGACAAAATTATTTTTTAGGGACTAAATATTTTTGTTGCGAAAAGTGTCGTTATTATACTTTTAGCAACGAAAATTAGACATTAGTGATGAATTATTAACTTTTTGTAATCAAATTTTTTGTCTCAAAAAATAAATCATTTTTAACTAAATTATTTTGTCCCTAAAAGTGTATTTATTAGTGGCATTTTTAAAATTTTGTCGTTAAAAGCTTTATTTTTGACTTTTTGGGATGACTTTTTAGCGACTATCTTCACAATGATAGGAATTGGTCCCTAAATGTCTTTTGCAACAAAATTTTCACTTTTAGAGATTAAAAAATTTAGTTTCTAAAACTCTTATATATTGTAGTATGGGGTCCGACTTCTAGAACTGAACAAATTCACTTTGTTCATCTGTAATTGCCGAACAAAGTGTATTTGTTCAGTTTTGAAAGTCTGAACAATAATGACGAAAAATAAGCTGAATATTCATTTTTTTTTTAGAAAAAAAAAAAGGAAGAAGAAGAAGAAGAATTATACCATATAATAATAAGGATTATTTTTGGGTATTGGTAAGTGTACCTTCAAGACTCGGAGCTCTACATGGACTAGCCTCTCAAGGAGGGTACCCTTGAGCTCGGTTTCGAGGATGACGTCGTCGATCGGACGGCAGTGCTTCTCTAAGCTTTGAGGAGAGAATTCATCGATGGAAGATCCATGGCGGTCACTTGTTAGAGTCCCAGTGGATGATGTATATGAGCTCCTTGGTGATCTGTTGTTGCTGCTGCTTCTTCCTTCTTCCAAATGCTTCAACTGAACATTTCATCATCCATGTCACATAAATTTAAAATCAACTAAATACTCATACCAAAGTGGAGCTATTTATTTATATATATTACAGATAAGGATAAGGATTTATTTATAGTTGATTGATACTTACGATTTTGTCAAGACGGTCGAGTCTGGAGAGGATTGGTTCTTCTACAACAGTCATTTTTCTGCCACTACTTTCGCGGGAGAGAAAATTATTGTAAATATATTTTCGCGGGAAACAAACGGAAAATTTTCTTCTTTTGCTCCTTTGTAAATGAGTTCATTACCGTTTGGGGCTGAGGGGATATAAATATAAAGATTGAGACAGGGATATACTGGAATTAATTTCAGGATGACACGTGTCCAGCAACACAGAAAGAGAGGTGTCTTTGTGTGAGTAAATTTGGACGCGTGGCAAGTGGGTTGATGTCGCTTGTGAACGGTGCTGGTTTATCTGATGATTGGACACGTCTTCCTTGTTAGAACTTCCATGAAGATAATAAAAATTGAAAACAGGAAACTTTCTTTTCTAGGCCAATCCTCAGAAAATTATCACTTTACTTGTTTTTTATTTTTCAAAAATACTTTTCAAAAAATTCTTCTTTCTTCTTTTTCGTATTTTTTGTTTTTATTGAATTTTTAAAAATATTTTAAGTAATTTTTTTAATTTTTAGACACACTTAACATAAATACACATAAAAAGTAAAAATTTTGTGAAAAAAATCTTTTAAAAATTCACTAAATACAAAAAAATAATAATGAGAATTCAGTATATTTTTTTTCCATTTTTATGAATTTATTAATTTTTTAAAATATTTTTTCATAATTTTTTTACTTTTTAGATATATCTAAATAAGGTGCATTTAAAAAAGTTTAAAAAAAGTACTTAAAATTATAAAAAATATTCACTAAAAAAAAAAAAAACTCAATTTTTTAAAAACTTAATCCAAAAAACTCAAACCAAACATATTGATTAGATTTGGGCAAAAAATAAATTATACAATAATCTTTTGGAGCTCTAATGATGTGAAAAGTGTCCATGTGATACGAGGACCCACACTTCTCTCTTTATTTCTCTACTCTCTCTCTTCTATCTTATTAAAGTTTTCATTAGAGTTACTATTTTAGAGTTATATATGATTACTCTAAATTATAGTCTGTTGATGCAAAATTGATTGGTGCTTTAAATTTCAATTTTATTACTAATTAACATAGTCGGATAGGGAGATACTTGTCCAAGTATAAATGATATAAAATAATATTTCAATACCTCATACAATTGTGAATTATTTTTTATGAGATTAGATAGGATTTGATTATTAATATGATTGTAAAGAATAATAAATTATAATATCAGATAATAGATGGGATAAATAGTTAAATAAAAAAAATAAAATATTATCAAAATTACGAGACTTACTATATTTTTTTTAAACCAAAAGCAAAGTATAATTTACCCAACTTGAACGTTTTTTGTGGGTATCACTAAGGCTTAGCAAAGAAATCAAAAAAATCCCCCAATTGAACCGGTTTTTTTTTTTTGGTTAAAGAAAAAAATCATGAATTGGACCTGATTTGAAAATTTGAGAAAATTGGTCTTTGCGGATTGATTTTGGATTTAGGTTTACGGTTCCGAATTTGAACCGAAAATGATCGTATAACTTAAATCATTTATTATATTTGTTTAAGTTAATGATGGAATAATATAAATCTTTATGTTTTGAAAGTTTATGTTTCATAAAATCATGACAAATTAGTGTTGAACAATGTTTACTTAATGTTATGTTTTGCTTAACTGGTGAAATATTATAAGAATAATTTGTTTGATGGACATGTTATTATTATTTTTATAATTTATGATTAGTTGAATTTATCACCTGGTATTCTATACAAAGGGGACTGACTCGCTACAACAAGATAGACCCTTAAGCAAAAAGATTGACTCAAGACAAAGAGACTGACTCAAAACAAAAGACTGACTCGATACCCAAGCCAGAATTTACAAAGCTAGCGTTCACAGATGCTCAAAAATGCGTGCCAGACGCCACATCCAAAATATACCAAATGCCGCTCGCAGGTGGTTCACTCTCTGATTACATACTTGCAGTATCTGTGTCCTCAAAATCCAATAACTGGGTGGTAACGGACTTGGTTGAGGTGGACGGGAGGATAACCTCGTTGTCAATCAAATCTTGCACCTCATGACGGAGGTAGAAACAATTGTCTGTAGCATGGCCTGTCTGCTGGTGGTACGCGCAGTACTGAGCAGCATCATGCGTAGTAGAGAGATTCTTCGGGAGAGGCCGAGGTTCCAAGGGTTTAAGGTGCCCCATTTCGGCAAGAATCTGAAGTGCCTTAGACAGAGGCATGTAGAGAGCATGAAAGACCCTGCGCCCTCGGGGTAGGTACTTTGAAGTTTGAGTATTCTTACTAGACGCACTAGCAAAAGGGTCGGCAGGCACTGCCTTGGTTTTCTGATCTTTCCCAGGTGCAGGGTTTGGAATAGGAGGAACTGTTCTGGCATGGCGGGGCCTATCCCGATCTTCTGATTGACTTAAACTACCCTCAGGTGGAGTGGCGAAAGCATCCTCCACAGTTTTTTCCATAACTGCGGATATCTGTTGCTTGTTCGTCCCCTCGGCTTTCAATGAATCGACTGCCCACAGCAGTTGTTCAATGGGATCGGCATCTGCCTTCATTTTGTTCTTATCTCTGGCCTCAGCTTGATCGGGGGTTTGGGTTACTACATCAGAACGAAGCCCGGTTGTTACTGACACGTCATTGCTGTAGCTGGAGGCAACCTCTGGTTGGTTGAGCTCTATCACAATCCGCCCCAGTAGCGGGGGCTCCTGTGGTATGAAATTCCCGGCATACGGTGCCGCTGGCGGCGAAGCCTACATTCCATAGGCCAGATCGGCCACGGATCTCTGGAGGTCACCTATCATTCCCATCAATTCAAATGTGGTGGGCTCTCGAGCCTGATACAACTGGGGGGTCCAGACTGGGTGCGCGACAGGCGACCTAGACGGATGCGATACATCAACATTGGTTTCATCCCGCAGGGTGATCCCTTGATCTAGCGTAGCTGTCATAACCACAATCTCTTCTGAATTCTGCGTCATCATAAGTCCTGCCTCAGCAAGGGGGAACACTAGCTATTCTGTATCAATTCTTTAGATACTCTGAACTGAAAGGAAAAACAAACAGCATTTCAGCCCAAACAGATCAATCACAAGTGTAGCCGAACAACTGCACTCTACTACTGATCACTGTTCCCCAGAATCACTGTCCCCAAAACTGAACTTGATACCCGCAGATAACTGATTCTCATAAACTGACACTGATGCCCTCAGGTCTGATACTCAAACTTGCAAACTGATATGTACGTTCCTGTAGAGATACACTCTAAAAGCACATAGCAAGTAAAGAGAGCCAAAACACCCCTACGGAGGGGTAGGGTTTCCCTGTCCTATTTTGTCAGGAGCTAGGGTGTCACTATGCATGCAGCGGTTTCAAACAACCTAACATCGGGTAAGCAACCTGTCCTAGCTTGGAATGGTCACTATGGATCCGAATATGCACTAGGTCGAATGGTCGAAAAGGGTGCCCCGGTAAAAACCAGGGTTTGTGTTCCCATACTGTCAGAGCCCATAACCGGTCAGCCTTATGGTCATGCCTTGACAAGACGAGCCTCCTGCAAACCGTTCAGGAATGGCAGATGGCAAACACAGTGTCCTAGGCGCACCAATGCACATGCAATGCAAAGAAACACATAAGTGTAATCAAAACAGGATATCACTAGTTCGAGTCAAGCTCTCTAAATTCCCCAGCAGAGTCGCCAGAAATTGTTGACGCGCCCGCGCGAGGCCCTCGCTACAGTTCGGACTCGATTTGTGTCACGGTCCTTAACCTGAACCAAAGAGTCCAAATCCGGCAAATCGTTTTGAGAAACAAATTTTTGAAAAGAAGTGCCAAACATGGACTGCTTTGCCCGATACAGAGTCGCCACCTAAATATTTTATTTTGGGGAATTTAGGAAACCCTGACTCGGTGCCAAAGGCCACGTGCCCGTCATCACCAAAGTTGCGTCGGCTCGGGAACTTGGGTACGATTGGGAAAGGTCAGCTATGAGCACCCTCTCTCGCCCGATCCGAAGATCGGCCTCTACTAACCGTGATATCCGTTTTTGAAAACATTATGTATTCTTATCCCGATTATTAGCCTAGAATTACTATGTTATGCGCACAGCACAAAAGTATAGACTAGATTGCCTAATTTGGGAATAACCACTACATATCCGTTTGTTTTGGAAAAATGTTTTGGAATTTGCTACTCGCAAGTAGGCTAAGACATGGATTTCAACGAGATATTCCAACTCAGACAATCCAACCTTCACCCACAGGCATTCAAGCAGTTTATATCACATAAGCAGCTAGCCTCATGGTAATCATGCTATCATGGCAACACTCACACGCATGCAAGGATGCTAAAGCATAAATACTTACATCGTACTCCATGCCAAAACAGGGAACTCATTAGCAATCAATGCAGGATCCAAGTCCATGTTTAAATGCCTAATGCAACGCATACGGAATGTCACTAGAGTAGGCTCGGCTAGTCTATGAATGACATGTGAAAATGCACAAGTAGCATGTATTCAAGTTAGATTTGAAGTACTAATGCAGTTACCATGATGCGCCGAGCCCGGTGCATGCAATACTGATGAATGATGCACGCATGCATAGCATAAGGTATGCTAAATTAAACATGTCCTATTACTAACCATCAAAGCAGGTAAGTAAAAGGGAGAAAGAAGTGGGGGTTGGAAGACATGCACACACTCACCCACACTTATTACAAATTCGCCCTCGCTCGGAGGGACCGAAAGAATAGTACAAATTAACTAACTCGCAAGCTAATTAATTATTACAAATTACCTAATTAATTAACAAATTAACTAAGCTTAGAAAAGCAAGAAAAAGGGACTCGGGAAGAGGGCTCAATGCACGCGTGCTCGGGTCTTGCTCGGAAGTCCACTGCCATGCGTAGGCTGCCTCTGTTTTCCCTGCTCTGCCACTCTGAAGACTGCCAAAGTCTCAGGATGTGCTCACTGGATGTTGAGGAATGCCACTAGCTGGAGGGAATTATCATCGGCTATGATTTGGTGGTCATCGGCCACAAATGAAGCTATCGACCATTGATGGATTCAAATTGCAATGCAAACCAACAAACAAGTGAGGAGCTCAACCTCAATCATGGATAATC